TTTGTTAATACAAAATACAAATATTTTAAGTGTATATGGTAGTAATTTTGTAATAATTTAATGATTAGTTAATAAAGATTTTAATCATTTTTATTAATAACAAAAATTATTATTAAATAACCTTTTAACCATTAAATAATATTATGAAATTTATTATACCAGACGATATATGTAAAAATGTGTTAACATAACAAATATTTCTATAGTCAAATCAGAAAAAGAAGAAAAGAAACGAAAAAAATTTTATTTATAAAATTTTGGTAAGTTTAATAATAATCAGATGATTTTTGAAACTTATTGTTGTTATTATTTTGTACTGTTTATTTGAGATTTTTTTTTGGTTACATTTTATTTTTAAGATTTTTATTCTATTTATTTGTTTGCCATCAAAAGAAAGAAAAATCAATTTTCCAAATTCAAAAAATTAATTAATTAATATAAATAAATTTTAATATATATATTATACATATATTGATAATAAAATAAAATTAATTAATTAATTAAAAAAACATTTTTTATTTTTTTAAAAAAATAAACTTAAATTATTATTATTACATCAACAACAATTAATTTTTTTTTCATTCACAAACATACATACTTGTCTATCTTTCTTTCTTAATTTCCAATATCAACAAAAAAATGGCTCGTAGAGGTCCACCAATGACTATTCCTGGTTTTAAATCACCATTTGAAGAATTTTCAGAAATTGTGTAAGCATATTTTTTGTGTAAATGAATATGTAGATAGTGTTTGTATGATGTTGTTTGTTATTATGCTCATTATCAAAGGAGAATAATTAATTGATTAGCTCGTATTATAATTGAAATGGTTTTAGTGATCCTTCCGGTAAACTTAGCTTTAGTGGGAAGGCAATTCTACACGCACAAGGAGTAGATTTCACAGAAGGCACCAGTTACAAGATTAATAAGGAGGAATTTGAGTTGATGGAGGAACTTGGGAGAGGTCAATATGGAACTGTAAAGAAAGTTTTCCATAAACCTACAAATGTTGTCATGGCGATGAAGGTATTACAGATAATGGAGGAAATGATTGAATGAATCATTGTATGAATTAATAATAAAGTCACTATTAAAATGAATAAATTTGGATTAAACTAGGACATTATTATCATGCCAAGAAATTCAATCCACAAGATCACAAAGATAAAGTACACTTGATTATGTTGAAAATCTTTATACTTTCGATTTTTAATAGTACATAATGGGTACTCTGTATTTTTTTGTATGGTATGTATAAGACATAAGACTTGTTTTTATTTTATATAATAAAAAAAAAAAATGGTCGAAAATCCAAAAAATAAATATACAAAAAAAGAAGTATTCATTAATGACTAATAATTAATAGATAGACTAACGTTTACAATTATAACCTGATCTTATTTTAATTGCCGATATTAATATTACCCTTTTCCATCTTTAGCAAATTATTAATTAGCTGTTGTTGTTGTTGCCAACACCACCAGTATGATGGCATTTCTGAGC